AACTTCAGCCCGTAAATTGAATGAGCGCTCTCTGGACGAAAAGACTGCATTTCTTAATAAACATTCTCTACAAGTCAGGTCTGATAAGTATTCTAGAGACATGCAACTGAAGGAATTTGTAACTAACAAGTGACTTTTTCCTTTGTTTTCTCACAAAACTCAAATCCTTGTCCAATTTCAAAGATGCCATCCAATGCAAGGCGAAATTTTTTTCTTAGTCTGGCAACTTTCCAGCTCTCTAGCAAGGCAGGGAGAAGTCCCAGGAATTTATTTGTAAATTTTGCTACGAGCTGTATTAAATTTAAGAGAACTTCCTTGACTAAATTTATTGCATGCATACAAAACTTATAGCAGATTCACAATTACACATTTTCAGAAGAGGTCTAAAATTAAAGATCAGGAAGTTTTATCCACTAATATAGCAGACTTATATTTCTAAAAATCTTTCAGTGGGGCTTTCCCAACAGACTCCTCAACAGAGACTTTCTCACCGGATAAGTGGAAAGGTTTTTAAACAGTAAGAAACAAGGGAAAAAAAAGTGCTTTCATAGCAGAGAGAAGTATTCAGTGAGGTTTCTTCACAACTGATCCTGTATGACATAAAGTGGAAAAACAACTGGGTCATTTTCATCTCCAGTTTCTGCTGTACACAGTTAAGTTAATACCTATATGCACAAGACACAGCTCAAATAGCAGCGCAAGTGGTTTTTTGTGAAATAAAACAGAATTAGCAATCCATATGCTAAAAGCACGATGTAGGTACATGGTGATGAAACATTAACAGAATTCATAGTTGCACACATCTGAAAATAAGCAAACTACAAGTCATTTAAAGCATGCAGTCTTACTGCAGCATTTTCTAGTCACACTCTCATATTTGCATGTATTTATATTGTGTATTTACAACTACTCTTCCCTGCATTTCAAAGATTTAAGTGTCATGGAGAAATGTGAGATAATAGAACAATACATTTCACAAAAACTATTTCCTAGAAAGTTTTTTTCACTTACAACTACATGACGCTGGCTGATATTATTTCAAAGTCACTATTTTATTTTATGCAATTAGTTTAATCATCTGAAAAAATATTTCCTCTGTAATTCTTAAAAAAAAAAAAAAACCTCAATAGTCTATACAGGAACCAAATAGCATCAATTAAAAAAAAAAACACTATGGTAAGTGCTACAGCTATTTTACATGACTAGAAATTTACTATTATGTGAGAAGGATACTTTTAATTTCTGTAGATCCACACAGCCAGGATGGTTTTAATTCAATAATAAAAAGGTAGTCACTGTAAAGTGAGAAAAATTCAGCTGTGCAGGAGAGAGTTTCTTCACAAAAACTCTTGAGTCTTTTCCCTTTATTTTTAATTTATTAAAATGCAAACGTCACTTCCTTTCAGATTTGATTTAATATCTCTTCTAAATAGCTGAAAGCAGAACTACTATTTGTTGTGGGTCAACAGCAGTTCAGTGTGGGAGGGACAAACAAACAAAACCCTCCATCATTTGGCTGGAAGCATTCTAGAGCGCCAGGCCAATATCAAGCTATTGAACTGAAAGGGCGAACTCATTAGCCGAGTCCTTGAGAAACTTGCTAGATGTCAGCATTAGCTTTTATGGTGTTTGCACATTTCCAATACTTCTCATAGCTTTATTCCACTGTGCCCTAGGGCAGCATTTCTGAAAATCAGATAATCAGATAACACACTGTGCAGTACCACCCTGAAGGTGACTCCATATTCCTTTCACTCTGCAGCACTGCAACTATAAAACTACTCCCTCAGTGCAGCTTCCTTCTGCAAGTTACATCTAGCTAAAACCCACAAGATTTACAACATGGCTGTAAAATACATGATCCTGATAAACACAGGAACATATATTTCAGGAATTCAAATAAAGCTGTTATATCACGCAAAAAGACACAGCCAAAGCAAAAGCCATAGACTTTCTCAGGTATTATTTTACTCCTAATTTAGGATCGACAGTCTTCCCTCTGGAAGCACATGACACAAAATACATACGTATATAAAAATTAAACACCTTTTGGAAAAAGCAGACAGTGATTACGGAAAACTGTCACATAATTTAGGTCCACTACTTGTACCATCAAATGAAAAAAATTAAAATATTCAATTTTAAACATGCTTGCTTGCATTGAAACACTGAATTTACACTAGCTCCATTTGACTCTCAGAAACTTAGGAATAAAAATCAAGTGATTAAAAACAGAATATAAAAATACATTTTAAATTATTTTGAGTATGGAAACTAAATGAAAGGCAAAACACCCAAACATAACTAAGATATGTTTTTTTTTTCCATACAGGTTTTCAGTTTTAATAAGCTAAGTTGTTAATTAGAGAAATAACTGCTGAAGGATTGAAAATGCATTTATAAATTGATCCTAACTTTTTACGTTGTCTGTACAAGCAGACAAGGCTGCCTAAAAAGCAAAATTGGATTAGAAATGTTTATTCGATATCTTACGTATTAATAGAGTGCAAAGCACAACACTGAGCTACTGAAAAATAAAAAAGTTTTACATTAACCTACTTTAATTGATTTATGTATTTTTTCCTAGGTTTTCTTCAATTAAAGTTCTAATTTGTCAAGTGGACACTCAAAAGAGCTACTAGCATCAGAGATATTGAAGAAAACACTTCCTTTTCAGTATAGTTTAGTGTCAGAATTAGTTAAACTTGTATTTGAGGCTGTTTAAAAAAAAAGGAGAAAAAAATCTCTCAAAAGCAGAAGTATTTGTATATCATATAAAAATAGCTCCATCGTACCTTGTCATTTTCTGGCTAGCAATTAAAGGACAGAAACTTTAAGCATTATGCTATTTTTTTATAGTACCACCTGCCCTTCTGGGAATTTTATTCTTAAAAGAACTTCTTTGACAGATACAGAGTAGCCTCTGGTTCTGCTACTACTTTGCCATGTAAGAGCGGTAACTAAACATTTTCTTATTAGAATTTTATTTTATTAAATATTTTAAATTTTGAATGAAAGGAGCTTCTCTGCTTATTTCATAATCTTTATCATATAACCACACAAAACTGATAATACAGGGGATCAATTTAGTCAGCATACATGAATTCTATATCAAAACATCAGTTTTAAAGTTAGCTGTAAAACCCATGCTAGCTTCCCTTTATAAAGAAGGGAGTAAAGCTTTCAGTCTCATGTTGGAGCATTAACAGAAAAAACAGACATTAGCGACGAAATAAAAGACAATAGCACTTGTATGTTTTTCCTTACTTTGCTGTAAAAAAAAGATGGCCCTAAAACTTCTTTTCTCCTCATTCCCGCTTTCACAGTCTCATGCTCCTTTTTTAACCATGGAACAATAAGTAACGCCAAGGACTGGTATCCTAAGCTCTGTCACCAACAGCAGAACAGAAGAGTGCTACTACAGTGCACAGACAGGAACTGCTGTCTTATGACTTAAATATTTCATGTTATTTTTAAAGCTATAAAGCTTCAATTCCACAAATGGACTCTCTTTTTTTAATTGTTTGAAAAATTCAGTTCAATAGCTGAAGTTCATTGTTTTGTTTCCCAAGCATTTTAATAGTTACAATTATGTATTCACTAAAATAAACCAGACTGATCTATATGACCCAGTCACAAGAGTGCTGCCATTAATCTAACTAGATAAAAGCATCTGTCATCTCTTTGTAACCATCTCTGTGAAAATGCTATTTTGCATCTTCCTGTAAAACTTCTCAATGAATCACTGGTCTGTTCTTCCTGCAAAGACAGCCTTTCTGCTATGCAATACTCACCCCAACAAGCCTCTGTTATAGTAAGAGCAAACCACCATCAAAAAATTCTGATACACGCTGTACTCCTTAAAGCAACGTAGAAAACCGAGAAAACAGACCAGAATTTAAAGTATATTTAGTCTACCTGACAAGCGTTACTTATTAGCTGGTGTATTTCCCTTCTCCTCCTGATTCCCGATTCCTCCAAAAGAGTTCTCTTTCAAACAGGTGAGTTGATGTTTGCTGTACCAGTATCTGTACCTTCACAGTCTGCACATCTAACTGGGCAATATTAGGTGTGGATGGTAATTGGAAGGGATGGAAAAAAAACAAACAGGTTGTCCTTTAGGCAGTGGAACTAATGAGGCCTGGGTTTCCACAGATGTGTTCTACTTTTTTCATTCCTCCTTTCTCCATCGCAATAAACCCAACTCTAGGTATGCTACAACTTGCGGTGGAACCTGAGTATGAAATAAGAAAGGAAAGGATTGGTCCCTTTCATCTAAGGATGTCAACATTTACTCTGTTAATTTTGTTCAAACCTCACCACAGCTTGGCTGGCATACACGTGAACTACAAATTAACTCCTTCAACAATATATTTTGCACTAACTTAGCTTAAAAAAAAAAAGTACAAGATAATAAAAGATTAACTTCAATACTTTCTATATAATGTTGTTAGCTAACATGCTTAAGCAACCATAAGACAATTAGCTAGTGGTGCCTCTAGTGACTGGTTACCATTGCACAAAGGACTCCTGAGATGTCTGCCTATTTCTGCTCAGAAATGCACCTCTTGGTCTCAAGAAAAGACTGCAAAGCAACATAGTCAATTTTAGGTTAACTTTCAGACGCTTTTCACATAACACAACCATATTATTTACTAGCACATTAAATATTTGTATCATACTGTCACAGTCAGTCAACAATAATTTTGAGGCGTAACCAAAAAGCATGTATTCAACAGTCTATAGTTGAAGATTGTTTAAAAAGGGGGGAGGAGGGAGGCCAGGAATGCAACTTTGTGAAGCACTTTGTCACTAGTACGGTTGACAGGAAAAAAACGTTTACTGACAGATACTCTTACTAAAGTTTAACCAGAAGATTAAAATGCAATTGTAATCGAAAGGTTAATGAGGCCTAAATCTCCTGCCCTCACATCCTCGAGCGAGCAGAACCACAGCTCAGATTTCATCGAGCTTTGCTTTATAAGAGCAAAGACACCAACCTCCAAGCAGAGCAGTCCGATTAGCGGTACCCCTAGCGCATGGAGGAGCTCGACAGCACGCTGAAGGTCGTGACATCCGTCATGCAGCAGTAACCGATATTTGCAGCACGAGTCTAGCGAACCGCGCAAGCCCGCG